GCGAGTGTGTGGGCGGCGGCGGCGGCGCGGAGGGCCGGGAAAGCCCAGCGCCTGGTCCGGAAGGGGCAGCAGCGATGAAACAGACTGCGGCGGGGACGCTGGAGGGAGACGGCGGCGGCACCGCCGCCTCCTCGGCGAAATATATATTGGGAATAGACGTGGGCAGCACGGTGATCCGGTGCCACGTCTTCGACAAGGGGGCTGCGCTGAAGGGATCGAGTAGCAAGCAGGTGAGCTGCTCTGGCCGGCCGGCCTTAGGCTAGGAGCGGCGCGGGGTGGGGTGGGGAGGTGGGGAGAGAGCCCTCTGTGATAAGAGCGGCTGCTCGGCTTAATCCGTCCATAGAGGTAGGGTTGTCAGTCCCCCCTCGTTTTGTCAGGACGATTTATTGATTTCCGTTTCTATACCGCCCTATTCGTGTTGTCACTCCAATACCGTTCCCTCACAGGTCAGTAGGCACCTCCTCGGAAATAAGCCCTGCTCAATCTCCCCGGGGTTTACCCTTAAATAGGTGGCTGCGGAATTGTCGCTTGAAGGCTCAGCGGGATTTAACCCTTTATGTACATATACAGTATGTACACAAGATTCCGCTGCGTGTGTGGATTTTTTTTCCCGCCCTCCGACTGATTTAAGTCTTTCCCTTCCAGCTGGTCCCTGTATTTTTTTTTTCGCAAGGCAGGGGAGGTGCTGCTTTGGCTGAGTGGTTAATTGACGAGGGGAAAAAAACTCTTAATTGGTTTTTCATCCGGCTGGAATTATATCTTTCATGCCTACACTGGAGATCCTAATAGTAGTGGAATCTTTTTTTCCCCTCCTCTTCTGCGGCCAGTAAACAGAATGTAACCTACTCCACACGACAGGAATGGGGAATGAGGGAGGCCGGTGTAGGTAATGGAGCCTAATGCAGGGAAAGTGTTAAGTCCTATGCTACGTGGAATTTGATGTTTCGTTTGACTCGCTTCCTGTTATACCAAAAGTGTAAAAGTACAGTGCTGGAATCCGAGTGGAGGAAGGCCAGTCACAAGGTGAAAAACTGTTTTGTAACTTTCTTAATCAACTGTTCACTTGTTCTGGCTGCTATTACCTTATAGGGTTATCAATCTCAAATTCTTGGTAATTAAAAACATTGAGTTGCTGTCAGTGGATTATTAACTGTGAAAACACACCTTGTGTGGGAGACATTGTATAGTAAATAAATGGTTCTGTTTAGCAGCTGTTTATTCCTAAGAGAACAGCCAAGTGGTGAATTGCACCTGTTCCCTTGTGATTCTATGCTACATTTCCTAGACCAAGGAGCTAAAATACAAGTCTTTAGTGATGACAGCACTCATATGTTCTTATGAGTGTTGTCATCCGAACATATGGTAATGGCGTGGCTAAAAAATCTTGTAAATAAATAAAAATGAATATGTTCTTAAGACTACATAATATGGTAAATGTATGTGTTTTGTTTCCTATTTAAAAACAGTTCACACATTGAGTATCAAATTAAATATTTTATCTAATCAACACTGTGGGTATTTTGCTAGAGTGAGGCAAGGTTTGTGGAAGTTACCTGTTTTATTTTTCTACACCTGGCATCATGATTATTAGCCAGCATCTTTTGCCAATCTGTAATGAAAGCCACCTGCAAAGCTGTGTGGGTTAGGATGCAATCCTGTGTTCAGTTATTTGGAAGTAAGGCTCACTGATGCTAGTGGGACTTGTATAGCAATGTGACTATAAATCCTATAATACTTGAATATTTGTATCAGAGGAAGTTGATTACATTCTTTCTTAGACACTGGAATAGGTTTGAGAATCCTGTTGTAACAGAAATGAGGCATTATAACTGTATTCCATAAAGCTGGACCATAAAGAAGGCTGACCGCCGAAGAATTGATGCTTTTGAATTTAGGTGCTGGAGGAGACTCTTGAGAGTCCCCTGGACTGCAAAGAGAACAAACTTATCCATTTTGAAGGAAATCAACCCTGAGCGCTCACTGGAAGGACAGATCCTGAAGCTGAGGCTCCAATACTTTGGCCATCTCATGAGAAGAGAAGCCTCCCTGGAAAAGACCCTGGTGTTGGGAAAGTGTGAAGGCAAGAGGAGAAGGGGACGACAGAGGACAAGATGGCTGGACAGTGTCACCGAAGCTACCAAATTGAATTTGACCAAACTCTGGGAGGCAGTGGAAGACAGGAGGGGCTGTCGTGCTCTGGTTCATGGGGTCACAAAGAGTCAGACACGACTTAATGACTAAAGAATAACAACTGTATTCCATTATTCCCTACAGTACCATGTCCAGAAGCTGTTGTAGGAGGTTTCAGTTTGACATCTCCCCCCACGCAGCATTACAGTTCCTTTACATTGTGGGGTACTATAGGTTTTCACTTATTCCTCAGAGGCTTCAGTTAATACAGACTTCAGAATGTTGAGGAGTACAGCCATATTCAATTAGGAGAGCAATTAATATAAATGAATGTTATTGGCACCTGTTTTTCCCCAGACCAATTCAAAACTGTGTCATTTACCTTAAAAACTTTAAATGTAGCAAATTCAAATTTGTATTCAAATTTTAGCCAAGGTCTTTGAAACATTGAGTCAATCGTCGTCGTCGTTTAGTCGTTTAGTCGTGTCCGACTCTTCGTGACCCCATGGACCAGAGCACGCCAGGCCCTCCTATCTTCTACTGCCTCCCGGAGTTGTGTCAAATTCATGTTGGTTGCTTCGCAGACACTGTCCAGCCATCTCATCCTCGGTCGTCCCCTTCTCCTCTTGCCATCACACTTTCCCAACATCAGGGTCTTTTCCAGGGAGTCTTTTCTTCTCATGAGATGGCCAAAGTACTGGAGCCTCAGCTTCAGGATCTGTCCTTCCAATGAGCACTCAGGGTTGATTTCCTTTAGAATTGATAGGTTTGTTCTCCTTGCAGTCCAGGGGATTCTCAAGAGTCTCCTCCAGCACCACAATTCAAAGGCATCAATTCTTCGGTGGTCTTTATGGTCCCGCTCTCACTTCCATACATCACTACAGGAAAAACCATAGCTTTGACTATTCGGACTTTTGTTGACAAGTCAACAAAACAGCATCTTCATAAACATATATAACAAGTTCCAAAACGGCTAGAATTTAAAATATACAGTATATACATATATATAACAGACTCTTATAAAGGCCTTTGCTAGCCTAAATGGCCTTAGTCACCATACGCTACTCAGTGGGGTCTTTATCCATTTGATTAATCCAAACTTGCCTCAGCTTGATGGCTTAAATGTATAAGATTCAAATATCTGAGGTACCTCTTCCTATACCACTCTGCTAGTATCTTGAGTTCATAGAATAACTGAGTTGAAAGGGGCCTCTAAGGCCATCAGATCCAAACCCCCCCCTTCGCTCAATGCAGGAATCCAAATCAAAGCAGATCTGACAGATGGTTGTTTAAGTTTCTCATGAATGCCTTCAGTGTTAGTGAACCCACCACCTTCTGAGATAATTGGTTCCATTGTTGTACTGCTCTAATAGTTGGGAATCTTTCCCTGATACTTAGCTTAAATGGTTTCCTGTAACGTGGAACTCATTACGTATTACACATCTCTGGGTTGATCAAAAACAGATCCTGCTCTTCTGTATGACAGTTTTTCGGGTCTTTAAAAATGCTTTAACAACTCCCTTCAGTCTTCTTTTCTCAAGGCCAAATATGTCCAGTTCTTTCAGTCTTTCCTCATAGGACCTGGTTTCTATCCCATGATCGTCCTTGTTGCCCTTCTCTGAACTTGCTCCAGTTTGTTGTCATCCTTAAAGTACGGTGTCTAAAACTGGACACAGTATTCAAGATGAGGGAGAACCAGCGCTGAATAGTACTTTACAGGATTTGGAAACTGACCCAACATAGCATTGACCTTTTATGCAGTTCCATCACATTATTGGCTCATGTTCAGCTTGTGATCTGTAACTCCCAGATTTTTATTGGCTTAGTAAGCCAAGTATTCTCCATCTTGTAACTGTGCATCTGCTGTATTTTTCTCCAGGTGTAGTACTTTGCTGCTATCCATGTTAAATTTCATTCTGTTGTTTTCAGCCCTGTGCTTGAGCCTACCATGATCGTTTTGAATTTTGTCTTCCAGGGTATTATCTAGTCCACCCAATATTATGTCATCCACAAATTTGATAAGTATTCCGTGAACTCTGTCATCCAAGCTATTAATAACCGTGTTGAAGAGCACCAGGCCCAGGACTGAGCCTTGTAGTATCCCACTTGTTACCTCTTCCCAGTTTGAGGAGGAGCCATTGATAAGCACTCTCTGAGTACAATTCTGTAACTAACTGTGTATCTACCTGACACTTGTTCTATCCAACCCACACCTAGTAGCTCTGCAAATCAGAATATCATAGGGCTCTTTTTCAAAGGTTTTATTTACTGAAATCAAGCTATATTATGTCCAGACCTTTCTCACTATCTACCAGGAATATTCCTCTTCTGAGGACTGGTAGCATGGACAAGAAGACTCTGAACCCCAGAGTCCTTGCGTTTCATTCCTAGAGCATCAAAGTCTGATGTGATGTCTTTGTAGTTCCTCTTGGCTGTGTTGTTTGTTCCAACATGGATGAGAAGAAATGGATATACATCTGTGGGTGTTATGAGTGATGGCATTCCTTCTTTCAAAGTCCTAATCAGTCATCCAGGAAAACAGCATACCAGGCAGGTCAATGGATCTTCTGAGTGTAGAGTGTGGGTTCAGTGACTACTTTGTTGAGCTTCAGCCTCTCATGCCCTCCTGTGGGGTCTCCTGTATGTCTTTCTCTGTATGCTGTCTGTAAGCCTTCTTTTCAAGAATCTGAAAATGGTTTTGGAGTTGCACAGGTGAAGAGTGTCTTCTCATTCTTTTGCTCCTAATTGTGACTCTCTTCCATGGTGTTTCCTCCACTATGTTTGTTGTCGTTTCAGCATTCTCCCCTTCTGCTTGTCTTGCTGTTCTTCCTACTCCAGTGCCTCCCTTAGCTGCTGCTCCTTGAGAGTTCTGTCTATGTACTCTTCCTTTTTTTTTTTAATAGCCTGGCTACTCGCTGCTCCGGTTCTTTCACTTCAACAGTGGAGCCTGCTTGTACTTCCTACATGTGTACTCTGTGTTGTTTTCAGGCACAAAGATAAGCATTGCATACACCCTGCAGGCCACCGTCGCTAAAGTGTCTCTTCCCTTCATGATCCCTGTTACCTTTTTAATTTATTCTTTTTGTCTATGGATGCCCTT